TTTGGAAGACTGAAGAAATGGTTCAGTGATTAAGAGCAATAGTGGTTCTTCTAGAGGACATGGTTTTGATTCCCAGCACCCACGTAGCAGCTCACAACCATCTGTAACTCTAGCTCCAGGGAATCCAGTACCTTCTTCTGGCCTCTGTTAGACCAGATACACACATGGTGCACTGATACACATGTTGGCAAAACATCCACATACACAAATAGATAAAATTTAGAAGTTTCTTTGTGTGGTATGTGTGTGCATGTCCATGTGTAGCACACATGTGAAGGGCATTTGTCTGTGGAGGGTGACTTCTTCAGTTGTTCTCCTTATATTTGAGACCCAGTCACTTACTGAACCTGGGCCTCACTGGTCCAACAAGACTAGCTGGCCAGTGGGTTCCAAGGATCCTGTCTCTTGTTTCCTCAGCACTAGGACTCCTGGCATGTGCTGCCATGCCCAGCTTTTACAGGGTTCTGGGTCTCTGAGCTCAGGGCCTCACGCTTGTGTGGTAAGCACTTTATGGATGGAGTGGTCTCCCCAACCATTTTACAGGTTGCTTTGGACTCTTATTCAAGTCAAACTCTGCTGAAAGTAAATACTTGTTATAAGGGAGTCTAGGTAACTTGGCCCCAGAATAGTGGAAACATTTTGAGTTTTGAGTTCAGCAGTTGACTGAGGACTGTTTTTATTAGTGCAGCTACTGTGCAATACATAAAGCATTTTTCCCTCTTAACTTGGCAACATTTTCTTGAAATTACTTTATATTTAAGACGAAGATGAGATACTCGAGAAGGAGGGGAGAGAATTTAAAGATCACTTTCCCTGTAGTGTTTAATGTTTTTCCGTCTGGGAGCTTTTACTGTACAGAGAACATTTAGTGTATGATCATACAAGTGATTAAAACATTGGGGTTGTATTTCAGTGAAATGTATAAAGGATGGAGAGCTGGTAGGGATAATTTGCCCTTCTGTGTTTTGGTAAAGATTCAAGTACTTTTGAACCTTAATAAGCTCAGCCTAGACCAAATAATGCTTGAGACACACATGTGTTTGAACAGTTTAAATAACCAAAACTTATGTAATGAGTAAATAAGTGAGTGATAGCAGTCATTAATTGAGCATTTCTCTGCCAGGCACATGGTTGGGAAATGGAAATTTATTCTCTCACTAGTAGTGGAGCTGTTGAGTGATTTTCAGTCCATTCAATGGTAGTTCTTGAAAATAAGTGAGTTTTGAGTCAGGCTTTGGAAGGAGGACATCGCGTGAGTTAATATATAGGAAGAAAGACACATTGCTTGTTGAAGATGGTGCTTAATTACATTCAGGACATGAAGAATGAGTTAATATGTTCAGTTATCAAATACTCGGTGCACTGTCCAGTAGGTGCTGTGATTCAGAGGTTGGAGGAGTGATTTACAAATGCACATTTCATTCTTGGTGGAGGGAGGATTCCACCTAGATAAGATTTTAAAATAATCCATGTCAGGAAGGCAAGTGAGGATTCCACCTAGATAAGATTTTAAAATAATCCATGTCAGGAAGGCAAGTGATGGGCCAGAGAGAGGAGGAGAGAGAAGGGAAGGCTGGATGGGTGAGGAGAATGTGAATGAGATTAAATTTGTTGTTTAACTTCCATAACCTTAAAGGGCTTGATAATGCCTTGACCCTTGTTTTTGGGAGTGGGGGCAGGGAGGAAGGGGAAGCCCGCCAACAAAAGCTTTTAGATAACCCATTCACTTTCTGCGTTGGGGCTTAGTTTTGGTTCTTTTTGCAACATTGCTCCATGCTCTTTTCAAAATTCTTGGATTAGGAGGTGACCATTGTAGTATTCTTTGTTTGTGTGTTTGCTTTGTTTTGCTTTTCGAGACAGGGTTTCTTTGTGTAGCCCTGGCTGTCCTGGAACTCTCTTTGTAGACCTCAAGCTCACAGAGATCTGCCTGCTTCTGCCTCCTGAGTGTTGGGATTAAAGATGTGTACCACCACCACCCAGCTTATGGTTGCAGTATTCTGAAAAAAATAAGATAAAAGTGACTTCTTTCTTTTTTTTTTTTTTTGAGACAGGGTCTCTATGTAGTCCTGGCTGTCCCGGAATGGGCTCTGTAGACCAGGCTAGTCTCACAGAGATTTTCCTACCTCAGCCTCCTGTATTCTGGGATTAAAGGTGTGTGCCACTACACTTGGCTAAAAGTTAACATTTTAAAATGTCTACTTGATTAAAGTTTTTTGCATTTAGTATATTTTGTAACCATCACTAAGAGAAAGAACAAACCTACCTTATGATGTAGTTACTTCCACTCCTCATTCTCAACTCCTGCCAACCACTATTTTGTCTCTGGATTTGCGTGTTCTGAACATTTTCTATAAAGGAAATCTGATAATATGGGCCTTTGACGCTGGACTTCCCTCACTCAGCCTCTTCTTCTCTCTAGGTTTACCCGTGCTTTAGTGTGTGTTAGTGGTCATTTCTTGACTCGTGGCTCATCACTTCCAACCTTCCCTTCTGTTACCTTGACTGAGGAACTGATGCCTCCCTCTTTCACTTCGGTGGATCCTTTTCATTACATTGAACCCATCCAGATAATTCAAAATAATCTTCCCATCTTAAGCTTCATATTTTCCTTTCTTTTTTATGTTTTTGGGACTGGTCTCATGTAGTGAGACCTGGGACTGACTCTGGAGCCCAATGTGACCTTAGACTCTTAGTCTTTTTCTTCTGCTCCTTGAGTGCTGGGGTTACAGTTGTGTACCACCATGCTTAGCTTTAGATCTTTAACTTGACAATATCTAACAAGTATTTTTATTTGATGTGTGGATGTTTTGCCTGCATGTATGTCTGTTCACGGTTGGTACTCATGGAGGCCAGAAGAGGGCTTTGGATCCCTTGGAACTGGAGTTAGAGTTGGTTGTGAGCCAATTATCAAATGTGTGCTGCAAAACTACAAGAGTAGCAAGTGCTTTTAACCACGGAGCCATCTCTCCAGCTCTAAAGTATATATGTATTTTTTCTTTTTGCTATATCAGGTAATATGTTTGTAGGTTTTTGAGATAGAACTTATATGTCTTGGGGATGGGAGCATTATTTTATGTACTATGTGTAGTATAGATCCCTCACTGTTAACTCTACTGCTCCCTAAGGCTTTTTCCTCAGAGTGTTTTCTTTGTTGTTTAGATAAGTTATTTAGCTTGTCTTTAAGTTCACAGATTTTATCCTGTGTGATCTATACATCATTGAGTTCCCAGCAAATGCTTTTTCTCAGTCAGTATACATCTTATTTGTATAATTCCATTTGGTACTTTAAAAATAACTTCTGGGTACACATTTCATTGTCTTTTTTTTCTTCACATTAAGACAAAAGATGTTTTTGGTGAGCTAAACAAATTTTTGTAGGTAAATTCGTAGTGTGACTGATTTAGCCCCTGCTGTTAGTCTCCTTCAGACAAATACCAAGACTGAAACAAGCAAAACCTGGTGCTGAGAACAGACTGTGTTGGTAGAGCTTGTTTGTGCTCAGCAGTCACAAGGCCTGTGCCCAGTCTCTAGCACAACCCTAACCCTGTGTGTGCGCACTTGTGTGTGTGTATGCACACGCACACTGTACCATAGTGCCTGTGTGGAGGTCAGAGGACAGCTTCCAGGGGTCACTTCTCTCCATCATGTGAGTCCTGTGGCTGGAACTCAGGTTTTCAGGCTTGGCAGCAAGCATCTTTACCAGCTGAGCCTGCCTCCCATCCCAGTTTCTTCATTGAGAATTTATTTTATTTTTTGACATTCTCTTGTAACCCAGGATGATCTCCAACTTGTCATGTAGTCAAACATGACTTTAAACTGACTCTCTTGCCTCTACTTCCTGAGTGCTGGGATTACAGGTATTCCATATGTCATTTTGATTGCATCCTGGACATTTGGGTTATCATGTTGGTAGACCTTGTTCTTACTTTCCTCTTGTATTCCGGCAAGCAGTTGCTCTATTTATGTTTAGTGTATAGCTTTCTGTCCTACTTTTGGGAGTTGTAATACCCTTGGTAATTTAGTTTTCAGGGGTCTTGTGATATTGCTCTGGCACCACTGTGGCTCCTGTGCAGGATCTGTCCGGGCCCTATCTACTGCTAAAGGCTGGTTGGCTTGGCATTGCCATCCATGTGGACAGGGTTGAACTGCCTGCCACTGTTGAAGGTGTAAAAGTAGAGGACCATGTTCATGCTGCTGCCCGAGTCATTGGGCCAGTCCTGTCCTGGATGAGGACTGTGGAATATTTTGACTTTCTAGATCTGTGCTGAGCCGCCCTTTTCACAGATCTTTAGCCAGAGGGCAGGCTTTTCTAGTTTGTTGGCTTGTTTGTGCATCTATCTATCCTTACTTTCTTGGTGGCTCTGAAGTGCAGACCTCTCCATTGTCCAGCCTGAAACATATGGGAGAGAAAAGGGAAATTCATTGAACTTACCACGGGTTTTCCTAGCTCCAGGGTCTCTAGCTGGTACCTCCTTTCTATACCTTCCAAAACCCTTTTGTGATCATTTTTCAGTTGTTTTTATGGTATTTAGTTGTATTTGGAGAACAGGGAGTATGGACCTATGCTGTCATACTTTAGAACTGGAATCCTAACGATTTTCAATTTTTTTGCACTCTTATTTATTGGCTATAGAATTGAAATAGCTGAGGGTGGTTTTTGTTTTTTAATTCTAAATTACGTTTCATTATTTTGTATGTGTGTGTATGTGTGAAGGTCAGAGGACATCTTTTTGGAATCACTTCTTTCCTTCTACCATGCGGGCATTGGGTTTGAACTCAGGCTGTGAGGCTTGCTGTCAGGTGGGAACCTTTACCTGCTGAGCCATCCTACTGGCCTGAGGTTCTTAAGGTTGTGTTCACTAGCTCTCTAGGGCATGTCTTCTCATCTGTTGTCCACTGCGGAGCAAGACAGGCTTAGTCTTCACTGTTTAAATGAAACTGTGGTAATTCAAAATGCCATGCCTTATATGTGTATTATTTATTTATGTATTTGTTTTCAGGGAGTGGAGCAACTGCTGTGGTCCAAGCAGCGTATTGTGCCCCCAAAAAGGAGAAAGTGGCAATCAAACGGATAAACCTTGAGAAGTGTCAGACTAGCATGGATGAACTCCTGGTATGCATAGCTCTTATTTCTTTCTTTCTTTTCTTTTCTTTTTTTAAAATTATTTTTATTATTTATTTTTATGTGCATTGGTGTTTGGCCTACATGTATGTCTGTGTGACGGTGTCAGATCGCCCTGGAACTGAAGTTACAGACAATTGTGAGCTGCCATGTGGTGCTGGGAATTGAACCCGGGTCCTCTGGAAGAGTAGCCAGTGCTCCCCCCCCCTCCCCATTCTCTGTGTAGTTTTGGTGCCTGTCCTGGATCTCGCTCTGTAGACCAGGGTGCCCTCGAACTCACAGAGATCCGCCTGGCTCTGCCTCCCGAGTGCTGGGATTAAAGGCGTGCGCCACCACCGCCCAGCAAGTAACCAGTGCTCTTAACCGCTGAGCCATCTCTCTAGCCCCATAGCTCATATTTCTAAAGTGGAGAGACTTGCTCTTGTAGTTTATGTTAAAGGATGTTTTTAGTTTCTTTTGAAAAGGTGACTTATTTTCATTAATAAATGATTATTATAAAATTTATAAAATCAAAGTAAGTTGAAAAAAATTACAATCTTATTACTCTGAGGTTAACATTTGATATGTACTTTTTTTAGACTGAATATTTAAATTAGCATTTTTGTGATTTTCTCTCTTTTTGTGTATTTCTCTTTACATTGAATGGCTACTTGTACCATTCTATCTGTGTTTGCTCATGTAGGTTTAGTAAATATATGTGTAGTATCCATTGAATAGAGATAGTTTATTGAACATGTGTTCTAGTTTTATATGGTTGCTGTTTTTTCTTACTGATACAGTGGCAGTTACTTAGTTCTCATCTCTATAAGTAACACCATGGATTTGTGATTCCTGGGTCAAGACTCTTTTACAAGATACTGGCCTTAGAGAAACAACAGTTGTGTTATGCACATTGATGGAAGATAAGAGACATAAATTAAATAAAATAGAGTCTCACTATGTAGTTCTGGCTGCCCTGAAACTCTGCATAGATCAGGCTGGCCTCAGACTCTCAGACTCAAAGCACCTGAGTGCTGAGATTAAAGACATGTACCACCATGCTGGTTTTAAATTTATTTTTAGAGTTTATGTTGGTGTGTGTGTGTACAGTGTACATGTTTGTGGGTTTGCTAGCATATGTAGGCCGGAGTTGAGTGTTGGGTGTCTTCCTCAGTTGCTTTCCATTGTATTTTTTGAGGTGAGCCTGAGTTTTCGAATTTGAGTTGATTGGCTAGCTGTCAAGCCCGAGTCCTCCTGCCTCTGCCTTCCATTACTGGGATTACAGGCATGTGCTGTGTCAGGCTTTTATGCGTGTTCTGAGGATCGGACTTAGCTAGGAATAGAGGTGATAAAAGATGGTTTATGGGGAAAAAAAAGCAACCTCACAGGGATTATTTTGTATTTTTGTTGTATTCTTGGATTAGCAGTATAGTTTAAGAATATAGCCTTGTGTTGTAGGCTATATAGTGAGTTACAGGACAGCCAAGGCTATGTAGAGAAACCTTGTCTCAAAATACATAAATTAATAATTAAAAAAAACATGTAAGTGCTTAGCAAGGAAAATCAGACAGCTTTAAAAGTCATATCTTTATTTCCTTTTTTTGTTTTTGAGACAGGGTTTCTCTTTATATAGCTCTGGCTGTCCTGGAACTATATATGTAGTCCAGGCTGGCCTTGAATCCACCTGCCTGTACCTCCTCAGTACTGGGATTAAAGGCATATGCCACTATGCCTGGCTCATTTAATATTTTTTTTATTTTTTGTTATTATTTTGCAGAGTTAGCAATCAAATCTAGAGTTGTATGTATGCTAGGTAAATGCTGCTCTACTGAGTTATATTCTCAGTTCATTTAATGTTTTAAATCCTGGTGAGTTTTGTTTTGTTCTTTGCTTAAGGATGAAATATAATAGCCCCTTTAGGGGCCTTTCTAAATAATACAGTATTTGAGAGCTGTAATCTACCATATTAGATGTCTTGATATTTTTATTTTATAATGATTTTTTTTCCTAAGATTATTTGCAGTGGAGCTGGAGAGTTTGCTCAATGGTTATGAGCACTTGTTGCTCTTATAGACAACCCACCCTGCACTCACATGGCAACTTACAACCATATTTATGTGGGATGTTCTGTATGGCAAATGTGTTGCTAATTAGTCAATAAATAAAACACTGATTGGCCATTGGCTAGGCAGGAAGTGTAGGCGGGGCAAAGAGGAGAATAAAGCTGGGAAGTGGAAGGCTGAGTCAGAGAGACACTGCCAGCCGCCACGATGAGAAACAGCGTGTGAAGATGCCGGTAAGCCACGAGCCATGTGGCAAGGTATAGATTAATGGAAATGGATTAATTTAAGCTGAAAGAACAGTTAGCAAGAAGCCTGCCATGGCCATACAGTTTGAAACCAATACAAGGCTCTGTGTTTACTTGGTCGGGTCTGACGGCTGTGGGACTGGCAGGTGAGAGAGATTTGCCCTGACTGTGGGCCAGGCAGGAAAACTCTACCTACATATTTAACTCCAACAACCTCCACTAACACCAAGCATAAACACGGTGCTCATACATACATGTAGGCAAAATATTCATACGCATTAATAAAATCAACCTAAAAAGTATTTTTTAAAAAAGGTATATAGAGCTAGTGATAGACAAGTCAGGAATGGACTGTAAAGGCATTACTGCTAAGCCTGATGACCTGAGTTTAATCCTTAGGACCTACAAGGTGAAAGTAAACAACCAGCTCCCAAAAATTGTCCTCCGAGGTGTGTCTGCATACATACCATGGCAGAATGCACAGATGTATGCATGCATGTCCTCACACATTCTCTCTCTCTCTCACTCAGTAAATACATACAATAAAACAGTGACGAGAAAAGGCAGGAGTTGGGACTGAGATTCCCTGCCTGTCTGGAAGTTTTCCCATTGCTCCCCACCTCCACCCCCTGTAGTTATGGTGACAGGGAGTAAACTGCTGAGCTGCATCTGTAAACCTCCACTGTCCAAGAGGAACTGAGTTACTGGTGGTGTCCGTACTGAATATTGGGGCATAATCGCAGTGAAAGAGAACATAGTAGTTATAGCTGTTAATAGGCAGCTGCTTACTTAGTTCTTTCTTTTCTTTCCTGTTTCCTGAGTTTTTAGAACTTAAGGAGCCTAAAAGCCCCTGCTGGTGACTTTATGGCTTGCAAAATATGTAGAGCAAGGTCTTTTCTATAAATCAATTCGCATTTAAGTAGAAAAGATGAAAAAAATAGCATTTATTGCGTACTTCATTTATCATTTTTAAAGAATTTAAAAAGCTTTCTATACCAAAGATATAAAGCATGTACATGAATAAATGAAAAGCTGTATAAATCACTGTAGGATTTCTTTCATTCAACAAATGTTTAATAGAGGTATACATGTGCCAGGCACAATGATAAAAGCAAAGAATACTCTTAGCTTTCATTGAGCTTATAGCTGTGTGTGTGTGTGTGTGTGTGTGTGTGTGTGTGTGTGTGTGTGTGTGTTGGGGTGTGTGCAGAAAATAACTAGGCAATAAATTCAGGAGCTAGAGACGTGGCTCAGTGGTTCTGAGCATTTGCTGCCCTTCAGAGGACCTGTGTTAAATTGTTAGCATCCAAGTCAGGTGGCTCACAACTGCCTGTAACTTTAACAGCTCCAAGTCATCCATTGCCCTCTTCTGACCTTCATGGGTACACAGGTGCACACTTACCCCAAATAAGAATAATTAAGAAAATAGTGTAAGTTCTATTTTAAGCACATACGTACGTGCACACACATTGGAGATTGAACTAAGGAGCTAGCACATGCTAGGCAAGTACTCCATTACTAAGGTTATAGCTCCATGATGACTGGGAAAATAGGATTTAATAACTGTGCTTTTATGAGGTAGAGTTTTTATGTAGCCCAAGGTGGCCTTAAAAACTAGGGTGGGAGGACTGGTTGAATGCTCTGGCTGCTCTTTCAGAGGACCCAGGTTCAACTCCCTCAACCCACATGGTGGCTCACAACCATTCATAACTCTACTTCCAGGGGGTCTGACACCCTCTTCTGACCTCCATAGGCACCAGGCATGCATATGGTGGACAGACATATATTCAGGCAAAATATTCATACACATAAAATAAATAAGTATATATTTAAAAACCCTCTATGTAGCTGAATCTGTCCTTAGACTCTTTTATTCCTCTCGCCTTCCCCTCCCAGGTGCTAGGATTGCGTGCATGTGCCATCACATGTGGGAATCCGGTTCTAAGTCCTGGCCTTCATGTAGCCCTCAGTCTAGCAGAGCCAGACAAGTAAGCTCATATGTACTGTGTAGTATTTACGTGCTGTCACGGGAGAAGGTGCACAAGGTGCTTGGAAGTTAAGGGGCTCTTGGACTTCCAGTCTAAGGCCTCTCCCATCTGGAAAAATACAGTTGTTATTTTGCCTTTTTAATTAAAAAGAAAAGAAAGGAGAAAAAGGAGGAGGAGCAGCAGCAGCAGCCCCTGATGAACCTGGATGCTTTGGGAAAATATTAAAAAAAATACCTACACTGAAATCAGATTGCTAAGTTAAGATGCTGTGGGAATATATGTGGTGCAGAGGGAACTGTAGGGTTCAAGGTCCAGAGATAGAAGCATGAAGTTGTTTTGTGTGGCTCCATCTTAGGAGTGAGGTCAGAAGGGATAGGGATAAGACCAGAGGGTCCCTGGTTTCACTCAGGGTCTCTAAAACATGTAATTGTCCCTTGTTAATTTAAATGTTACAAACCGAGGTAGAGTTAGGCTTTGGCATGGGTCTCACTACTCTGGATTAATTTATAACTTTGTACCATTTCAGGTTACTTCTCTTTGATGTGAGAATTGTTAATAATGTCACAAAAATTAGGTGAACTGATATTTTACTAAGACAAAACAACCCCCCACAGACAGACAGACAAAAACATTTACCTTCTGTTTATTAGTAATTATTCTCTGTTGGCGAGATTTCCCAAGATAGTTATTCAAGGATACCTATGTGTACAACTATGTGTCCCAGTGGAGGCCTCCGAGGTACTATGCCAGGATGTGATAAACAGTGCATGTTTTCTGTTTCAGAGATTACTAATACAGTGTCTAGGAGGAGTAGAGTTAGAGTCAGAATTGACTGACGGAAACTACATGGTTTTCTGGTTGAGCCTTTTTTTTTTTTTGGTTTATCTGTGTAGCCCTGACTGTGTGTCCTGAAACTTGCTCTGTAGACCAGGCTGGCCTGGAACTCACAGAGAGCCACCTGCCTCTGCCTCCCGAGTGCTGGGTTTAAAGGCCTGGGTTAGCCTTTTTAGATGAGATCTTGCCGGTGTATCCTGATCTCAGCCTTCCTTCCTCTCAAGTGCCAGGATTAGAGGTGTATGCAGCCTGGCCTGTAGCCATTCATGAAGAGATTAGTACCTTGGAAATCCCAGAGAAGACTGTAACATAGTCCTGGGATAACTAAATCTGGATTTGCTAATTTATAGGGGTTGCTTTAAGCTGGAATGTAATAAGTGACTATGTATTTTCTTCTTTGTAGAAAGAAATTCAAGCCATGAGTCAATGCCATCATCCTAATATTGTGTCTTACTACACGTCTTTTGTGGTAAAAGATGAGCTGTGGCTAGTCATGAAGCTGCTAAGTGGAGGTGAGTATATATACTACAGTGGAATGCCAAGTTCTGTGGGTTAAAAATTTAATAAAAATTCCCCAGCACTCACAGCAAAGGCAGGCAGATCTCTGAGTTCAAGGACAGTCTCGTGTACAGATCAAGTTCCAGGCTGGCCAGAGTTACACAGTGAGATCTTGTCTAAAAATAAATAAATAAAAATTCTTCTTACCCTGATAGGGTTTTGTTGACATTTTACATTTGAGGATACTGAGAATGTAGTTTAAATAGAACATGTGCTAGTGTGTAGCTTCGATAGGTTTCACACATTCTATTTGACTGTTATACCTCCAGCATCTCTCTTAATGTAGTATAGCTTCCTTCCCCATCCTTCCAGGACATCAGCTGATTGAAAAGTTTTGTCTGTTTGTCTAGATTGATTAGATTCTTCCTTTTTGATGTGACGCCTAATCTGTATGTCTGTTTCTAGCACACTGAGCATTAGATTAAAAATTCAGCGTGATGGAATTTAGGCTAAATATTTTTAGGTCTGTAACGTTGCACATTCCATATTGCATCACATCAGGAAGGTTTCCTATCTGAACATGCGTTTATTAGTAATGTTTGTTTTGTTTGTTTAAGATTGTGACAACCAAGGTCTCTCTATAATAAGGATTTTCCCTTGTAGCTAGCAGGTAATCTGTGAGATGAAACTTTATCACTATTATTCTAGGTCCCCACAGGTCTTATATTTTATATATTTTAGCATTCAGTCCTTGTTTAAATCACTTAATTCATTAGAAGTTATTTTTTTATTATTGCATTGTTTCTTTTGTTTTTTGTTTATCTGGACAGGATTTCTCTGTGTAGCCCTGGCTGTCATCATTTTTTTTTTTTTTTGTAAATATAAATGTGTGTGTGTGTGGGTATGTGTGTATTTTAAGAGGAACCTTGACTTATTAAGCAGGGCTCTTTAATCTGTACTGTAATTCCCATTAAAAAGTCAGAATAAAAAGATTGAGGGCAGGTGAGATGGTTCATCTGGTAAAACACTTGCTGTAAAGTGCAAACCTCATGGCCTGCTTGGCTCTGGGAGCCGCAAAGGGGATCCACAAGGCTGTCTTCTGAGCACGTGTGCACTAGAGTGTTCATGCCTGCCCCAGTAACAAATAAACATTGAATATATTGGAAGAAGTGATTGTTAGCCTGGAGAGAGATGACTTAGTAGTTAAGAAAACTTGTTGTTCTTGCAGAGGACTGATTTCTAGTTGCAGCACCCACAATGGTGGCTTACAACTATCCATAACTCCAGTTCCCCAGGATCTGATGCTTTCGGACCTCTGGGGGTACCGGGTACACATGTGGGGTGTGTGTGTGTGTATGTATACATATGTATATGTATGTATGTATATATGTGCAAAATACTCATACACAGAAAATAGATCTAAGATAATTTTAAAAATGGATTGTTGAGGTGAATATGGTGGCTCATGCCTGTAATCTCCCAGCACATGGGAGGCTGAGGCAGGAATATTTCAAGTTCGGGGTTAGCTTAGACTATATATAGCTGGTTCCTTGCAATTTTGAGTCTAGATTTTTTTTCCTGTGTGTGTGTGCACATGCTTGTATGTTCATATGTGCATTAACATGTGCCTGTGCACAGGCATATTTGTTTTTGTGTGTTTGTGTTCATATGTGTGCAGTTTTGTGCATGTATAGGCAAGAATACTAATTTTTATTCCTTAGATGCCCCCCACCCTCCTTGGTTTGAGACCGAGTCTTTCACTGCCCTGATCTTTGCCAAGTGGTCTAAGCTGGCTGACCAGCAAACCCCATGGTCTGCCTGTATCCTCCTACCCTGTGCTGGGATTATGAGATCGAGTTACCACATCCGGCCTTTTTTTCCCAAGTAGGTTCTGGGAATTGACTCAGGTTCTGGTGCTTGGTTTTTACTGGCTGAGCTATTTCCCCAGCCATATTCAGAGTTCCTCAGGCTCACATTTGCGTTCTTTCTCCCCAGATCTAGATTCAGTTGATATTTTCACTGAAGACTGGTATTATAAAGCAGAACTTTGATACTTGAAGTGTCCATTACCATGGCCTCAGTGATTTCAGAACTTGGAAATATTGTATGTTACAAGTAAATCATAATTTCACATCAGTATTTCCTGTTTGAACAAAATATAAATTTATAAAGCTATTTTAATATTATACTTGAATGTAGCTGGAGTTTTCCTCCAGTCCTGCCTGGCCCACAGTCAGGACAATTCTCTGTCACCCACCAGTCCCACAGCCGCTTAGACCCAACCAAGTAAACACAGAGACTTATATTGCTTACAAACTGTATGGCCGTGGCAGGCTTCTTGCTAACTGTTCTTATGTCTTAAATTAATCCATTTCTATAAATCTATACCTTGCCACGTGGCTCGTGGCTTACCGGCATCTTTACATGTTGCTTGTCATGGCGGCAGCTGGCAATGTCTCCCTCCGCCTTCCTGTTATCTCAATTCTCCTCTCTGTTAGTCCCGCCTATACTTCCTGCCTGGCCACTGGCCAATCAATGTTTTATTTATTGACCAATCAGAGCATTTGACATACAGACCATCCCACAGCACTTGAATCTCTTCTCTTGCACAGAAAATTTTTTTTCTTGTAACATATATGTAATTACACAAATACATGTACATTTGGGATGTGTAGATTGAACATTTTTTTGTTTTTGCTTTTGAAGACAGGGTTTCTCTGTGTGGCCCTGGTTGTCCTGGAACTTGCTCTGTAGACCAGGCTGGCTTTGAACTCACAGAGATCCGCTTACCTCTGCCTTCTGAGTGCTGGGATTAAAGGTGTGCACCGCCACTGCTCAGCTTATTGAACATTTTTTTTAATGGTTATCTGAAGACACATGCTATATGTAGTGATACATCTTTTTTTTTTTTTTTTTAAACCCCTTTTGGTAAAGCTTCAGTTTGAATGTGTTGCAAGGTTGGTAGGACTTGTGAGTGATGGAGCCTCTCGGTCTTCCCATTCTATGTTGCTTGGTTTCTGTGTGCATTTGTTTTTTGTAAGGGAGAGTGATTTTTTTTCCATCTTATAGTGTATAGTTACAGAAGGAAGAATCCACATTTTTAGTTTTCAGTTTTGGTATAGTATTTCACTTCATACTTCTCAGAGAGACATAGGCTTAGAATAAAATCCACCTTTCTCTTCAGCAATTGCTTGTCACTAGAAGAGCTTCAGCTCTGAACCTTTCTACGTGTTTGCTGAGTGAGAATGCCATTCTGCATTCCAGGATGAATGGATTGATGAGGTGACACAAGATCGCAGAAGTGAAGCATCTGCCACTGTGCCTTCATGCAGAGGTGCACAGGAAAGCTTAGTTACAGCAGGGGTCTTTCCTGCACTGTGCCTTCATGCAGAGGTGCACAGGAAAGCTTAGTTACAGCAGGGGTCTTCCCTGCACCGTGCCTTCATGCAGAGGTGCACAGGAAAGCTTAGTTACAGCAGGGGTCTTTCCTGCACCGTGCCTTCATGCAGAGATGCACAAGAAAGCTTAGTTACAGCAGGGGTCTTTCCTGCACCGTGCCTTCATGCAGAGGTGCACAGGAAAGCTTAGTTACAGCAGGGGTCTTTCCTGCACCGTGCCTTCATGCAGAGGTGCACAGGAAAGCTTAGTTACAGCAGGGGTCTTTCCTGCACCGTGCCTTCATGCAGAGGTGCACAAGAAAGCTTAGTTATAGCAGGGGTCTTCCATGCTGCTGGAGCGTCCAGCGTAGCCAGAATCACCTCTTTGTTTTAATCCATTAGTGTCAATGGAGACACTGGATTGCTTTGTTAAAGACTGTTTCATGTGATGGTTGCTAACACCAACCACCTTTCAAGATGGTAGTCAAGCGTGGTTCTTTTCAGTATGGACAGATATGAGAATAGTAGGTAATATTGTATCTTTCGTTATTGATCACTTATAACATAATGATCCTTATTTTGTGATTTATAAAAATGTGTAATACAGAGCTTTTCATGTTTTGAAAAACATTTCATGATGAATGGGAAAGTCTACTTAATTCTCTCATCACTTCCCTGTGCTTACCCATCCTTTCTGCACCTTTTATGCACATTGACTGTCTTGTTAAAGGAGTCCTGTTTCTCTGTCCGTGATCCTAGTCATGGACAGGCAGGACACGAGAAAGGTAGTTTTTTTTTTTTTTTAACTTGCTTTTTGTCTCGCCTGGTCTCAGGTTTTCTGAGTCAGTTTCTGATTTTTCCCTCCTAGCACTAGGATACTTTAAAATATGTCCTAGTCATAATCCTCATATAATTATGTATATTTTTATAAGTCAGCATCTTAATATATCTATTTTTAAAATTTTTCTAAATTTGTTTATTTTTATGTATATGAGTGCTCTATCTGCATGCATGCCTTTATGCCAGAAGAGGGCATCAGATTTCACTAAAGGTGGTTGTGAGCTACCATGTGGTTGCTGGGAATTGAAGTCAGGACCTCTGTAAGAACAGCCAGTGCTCTTAACCACTTAGCCATCTCTCCAGCCCCTAAATATCTGTTTTTAAAGTATTAAGTTTGAGCCGGGCGGTGGTGGCGCACGCCTTTAATCCCAGCACTCGGGAGGCAGAGGCAGGAGGATCTCTGTGAGTTCGAGGCCAGCCTGGTCTACAAAGTGAGTTCCAGGAAAGGCCCAAAATTACAGAGAAACCCTGTCTTGAAAAAACAAACAAAAAAAAAAAAAATTAAGTTTGTATTTTTTAGAATGGTGAAATCTTTTTTTTTTAAGGTTTTATTTATCATGTATACAGTGAGTGTTCAGCCTGAAGGCCAGAAGAGGGGTCCAGATCTCATTACAGATGGTTGTGAGCCACCATGTGGTTGCTGGGAATTGAACCCAGGACCTCTGGAAGAACAGCCAGTGCTCTTAACCTCTCAGCCATCTCTCCAGTCCCCGAAAGGTGAAATCTTAACCTGCTGGGCTGTGGTGGTGCCTTTAATCCCTGTTCGAGGCCAGCCTGATCTACAGAATGATTTCCAG